CGTCCTTAGAGGGAATTTTGTAGTTCTAAGTGCCTACATCAAAAAACCGGAAAGAACACAAATAAATGACTTAACATGGCAAATCAACACACTTGAAAAGCAGCAGCAAACAAAACCCAAAATCAACAGACAAGAAGAAATAACAAAAATCAGGGCAGAAATTAATGAAATTGAAACAAAGAAAACAATACAAAGAATCAGCAATTCCAAGAGCTGGTTCTTTGAAAAGATAAACAAGATTGACAGACCACTCCCCTAGTTAATCCAAAGAAAGAAAGAGCACCTCCAAATCACGAAAATCGGAGATGAAAGGGGGAATATGACAACAGACACCAGAAAGATACAGAACATTATAAGGGAATAATTTAAAAACATATATGCTACTAAATTTGAAAACCTGAAAGAAATAGATAGATATCTAAAGGCATGGGAACCACCAAAAATAAACCAAGAAGAGATTAACAGCTTAAACAGACCCATAACACAAAAAGAATTGAAAGAGTAATACAAAATCTCCCAACTTAAATCCATCCAGGACCAGATGGATTTACATCAGAATTCTATCAGATGTTTGAAGAAGATCTGCATCCAATACTACTTAATTTATTCAAAAATAGATATGGAGGGAGAAACTTCCAAATTCCTTCTATGAAACCAGCATCACACTAATACCAAAGCCTGGTAAAGATACAACCCCAAAAGAAAACTGTAGACCCATATCCTTAATGAACATAGATGCAAAAATTCTCAACAAGATACTTGCAAACCACATACAGACACACATCAAAAGGATCATCCACCATGATCAAGTCAGCTTTATCCCAGAGATGCAGGGATGGTTCAATATAGATAAGTCAATAAACGTCATAAATCATAAATGGACTCAAACACAAGAACCACATGGTCATCTCAATAGATGCCTTTGACAAAATTCAACATGGATTAATGTTCTAAGTCTGAGAGGGAATTAGACTGGAGGGAACATGCATCAACATAATTAAAGCCATATATAACAAACCCACAGCCAACATCATCCTAAATGGAGAAAAACTGGAAGCATTCCCATTGAAATCAGGAGCCAGACAAGGCTGTCCACTATCCCCACTTCTCTTAAACATAGTACATGAAACACTTGCAAGAGCAATAAGACAAGAGATGAAATTAAAGGAGTATTAATTGGAAAAGAAGAGATCAAATTATCCCTTTTTGCAGATGATATGATATTATATCTAAAGGATATAAAAATTCCACCTGAAAACTCCTAGAAATTATTAATACGTTCAGTAAAGTGGCAGGTTACAAAATTAACCTACAAAAGTCTAGAGCGTTTCTATATACCAACAACAAGCAATCAGAGAAAGAGCACATGGAAACATACCTGTTCACAATAGCTAGAAAATTTTAAATCTTTAAAGAGATTGAGGAAGACATCAGAAGATGGAAGGACCTCTTATGCTCATGGATTGGAATAAGTAATATTGTGAAAACGACCATCCTACCAAAATATATATATATATTGAATGCAATGCCGATCAAAATCCCCATGACATTTTTCACAGAATTGGAAATAAACTATCCCAAGATTCATATGGAAGCACAAAAAACCTCGGATAGCCAAAACAACCCTGGGCACTAAAAGCAATGCTGGGGGGGGGTATACTATACCAGATTTCAAGCTGTATTACAGAGCTCTAGTCATAAAAACAACATGGTACTGGGACAAAAATAGACCCATAGACCAGTGGAACAAAATGGAGGACCCACATATGAGCAAATGCAATTTCAGCCACCTGATATTTGACAATGGGGCCAATAACTTTAACTGGAGGAAAGACAGCATGTTCAGCAAATGGTGCTGGTAAACCTGAATCTCCACTTTTAGAAGAATGAAACTAAACCTCTATCTTTCACCCTGCAAAAAATTAAATTCCAAATGGCTCTAAACCTCAATGTAAATCCTCAAACTCTGAAACTATTAGAAGAAAACATTGGAAAAAATATACAAGATATAGGTGTAGGAAAGGATTTTCTAAACTGGTCATCAATTGCTCAGGAAACAAGGGCAAGAATTAACAAATGGGACCTCATTAAACTAAAATGTTTCTTTACATCAAAGGAGACAACCAAGGAAGCAAACAGAAAACCCACAGAATGGGAGAAAATATTCACCAGTGACATCCTACAGAGGATGTTATAACCAGAATTTATAATGAACTCAAAAAACAGAGAACCAAGACAAAAAGCAACCCAATTAAAAGATGGGCTAAGGAGCTGAACAGAGAGTTCTCAAAAGAGGAAAAGAGTTTTCAAAAAGAAGAGATAAAGATGGCTAAGAAGCATCTTAAATGATGTTCAACATCTTTCATTATTAGGAAAATGTAAATTAAAACCACTTTAAGATTTCATTTTACCCCAGACTGGCTAAGATCAAGAAAACAAATGATACCAAATGTTGGAGAAGATGTGGGGAAAGGGGAACACTCATCCACTGCTGGTGGGGCTGCAAACCGGTTCAACCCCTACGGAAAGCAGTGTGGAAAAATCAAAAAACTACAAATGAACCTATCATTTGACCCAGTTATACCACTCCTTGGCATATACCCAAAGAACTCATCCTATTGTAGAGACACATGTACATCCATGTTTATTGCTTCTCTTTTCACTTAGGAAGCAACCTAAGTGTCCCTCAGTTGATCAGTGAAATGTTGTTCATTCATACATTCGAGATTTAGTCAGCAGTGAAGAAAGATGAAATCATGAAATTTGCAGGTAAATGGATGGAACTAGAAACTGTTATACTAAGTGAAGTAACACAGACTCAGGAAAAAAAATCAACAGAAGTTTTCCCTCATATGTGGATTGTAGAACCAGATTCTGATAAATGAGTATGCAACCAGACATAACTACAGGAACCAGGATAATGGTAAGGAAACAGGGATGTATAGGCAAAGAAATAACCTGAAGGAGAAAGGAGGAAACAGGCCTTATAAGGGAGATATGGATAAAAATTGGGTTAGTTTAAGGGAGGGGGAAGGGAAGGGTATACAAGGAACCTAGGGGATAAAGGGAATGAAGGATCTCAAGAGAGGTAGGACCATAGCAGAAGGGCATAAGTAAGGGAGAAAGGGGGAAATGGGGCATATTAAGTGGGAAAACCATGATGGAGGGGTGAGACAATGTGAGAGATAAACAGTACCTAGCTACTTTTGAAAATCAGAGAGAACTATATTACTCCGACAACCTACGGACAAATTGTACATAGCAGATCAAGAAATATATGTCTACGTAAGGTTTATCTGAGAACTGGTCTTTGACCAAAATTTTCTATATGACACACAGTAATTAAAAATACCAGACTGGTGGAGCTAGCCTTCTTGGGTTTTTAACAGACATACTTTGAGGTCTGTAATAATTTGATCAGAGTGACATAAAGGACACTTTTTGCTCTTTGCCCTTCTAGGTCGATTAGTTCCAGGGGACTATGAGCATCTCTCAAAATGTCCTATAATGGTCGTGGGTCACCTGTCCTCTTGATCAAGGAGGCTGAGGAGACTCCACCAGATGGACTTGAACCAATTTCCAGTCTATAAAGAAGAGGGTCAACTCAGAGGAATCATTTCCTCCATGATTCCAGACAAAGCCAATCATGGTTGAGTAGGACCTTTGACTTATCTTCACATATGTGGAACTGGTAAAAGAAAGGAGCCAGGGGCTCCTCCCAAGTCCATGTGACCCCTGAGGAACAGATCCTCAAACGACCTTAAGAGTAAAAATAAATCGGTTTATCTGTACCAACAGTGTGGCTTTAAACACCCAAAAGGAAAAGTATAACCAAAGATTAAATGGGCCAACATAATTTCATAAGTGTCTATATGTACAGCTAAAGGTGAATATGTCAATGATGTTGTAATGAAATGCTTATTCTAATCATTTGGTTATGAAATAAATAATTTTAAAAAATAGTAGATGTGAAAAGCATTACCATTCCTGATGACTGATGACTTTATATCCATGCTCAGATGCCAGGGAGCTCAGAAAGTAACCGACTGTGACTAGTAATAATTTGATATCTAGAGATTAGAAACGCATGTGTATCAGTGTCAATTGTATTAAAAATGAATTTTTATGTATGAAACTGTATTTTAATAATGAAATGGATATCTTTTTTAAAGTTTAAAACCATTTAATTTTATGTCTTATATGGTTTATATGTGCTCAGATGCCAGGGAGCTCAGAAAGTAACCGACTGTGACTAGTAATAATTTGATATCTAGAGATTAGAAACGCATGTGTATCAGTGTCAATTGTATTAAAAATGAATTTTTATGTATGAAACTGTATTTTAATAATGAAATGGATATCTTTTTTAAAGTTTAAAACCATTTAATTTTATGTCTTATATGGTTTATATGGTGTACAATATTGTATAACTGTATTAATTCAACTATAAACCTAAAAATTTACAGCCCTTTTTGAAAGAGATGCATCTTCGCTCTGGAAATTGTTATTGAATATGTCAATGCTGTTGTGATGAAATGCTTCCTCTAATTATATGGTTATTAAATAAATAATTAAAAAAATATGTACTAGGGTACATGAAACAAGTCAAAATTAATAAGAGTTAAAGATAGTCATCTAAATAAAATAAAAAATATTCTATGAACTTGGCAAAAATTCAGTAAAAACTTTAATAATTCAAAATGAGTCTTATGATTTTAAGCTTTGTATCCATATTGAACTCGGCTTTTCTCTTCTTAGTGCCTTAATGAAAAAAGAGTGAATCTTGGAAGGTAAATATTTTCATTATCTAGATTGATATTTAAGTTGCTGATACTTAGCATAGTAGAACTGGATATTGTATTTTCTCTCTTTTTCTCTCAAGATCACTCTGTCTCCTCTTGACTTTTTGGAGGAATGTCCTTTTTGCTACTTCTTTAAACCCTTTAAAAATTAAATGCCTCTAGTCTAGTGTGTCAGAAATGCATTCTGTTAAATCTTACCCTTGTGGTGTAGGCTGCCTCAGGATCATCTTCCAGTACTCTGGAAAGTCCAAAGTCAGACACTTTGCACACAAGGTTACTGTTGATTAAGATGTTTCTAGCAGCAAGGTCTCTGTGCACGTAGCCCATGTCAGAAAGGTACTTCATTCCTGCAGCAATACCTCTCAGCATGCCAACCAACTGAATCACAGTGAACTGTCCGTCATTTTTCTGCAAACACAGTGCAGAAGCATTAAGCTAACAATAGCAATCATGGGAGGAAAATTAAAATAAACACTCCTTCAATCTTCAAATTAATATTGTCAGCTATCAAAATTCATATGTAATTTCTATTTGAAGGAAAATAAAAAATATTTAAAAGAGCAAAGCTAACTGACAATGTTAATCTGGTCAAATCAGATAAAGACTTTGAAAGTCCTTCAAAAATATTATGCAGTACAGACACGAAAACACACACACACACACACACACACACACACAAACACACAAGATATGAAAGGAAGGGGAATTGAGAAGAAGAATGGTTCCAGCAGAAGAACGAAGTAGAGGAAGACAGGTTATTGGGAGGTAAAAAGGATAAAATTCACCACACACACACACACACACACACACACACACACACACACGTTTGAAACTGTCAAAGAATAAAGTCGAATAAATGTTTTTTTTTTTTTGTTTTTTTTTTTTAACTAATCCTTTTCTGAACAGAGTTTGTGACCAAAAGTGTACTGGAATTTTAAAGCTATGTTAAATATGTTGGGGATTTAAAAACCTGTCAAAAATATGTGTACAAAGCAGAGCACTAGTGTACCTTCTGTATTCAGTCATATGAAATGGGATAATAGCTTCAATAAATACAAATGCAAATAACCCTAAGGTTGAATACTACACTGTTGGCAGTGTCTCTGCCTCATAGCTAATATTCAGAATGTGTTTGATGATGACGTCTTCACAACACAATTTACAGTTATTCCTATTTTTGAGAAATGTTTGTTATGTAATTTAAAATTATTTATAAGTATAATCTAGAAACATATGAGGTATGATATAAAGAAGAAACATGCAAATCTATGCATTCTTATATTTTTTATTTAATGGGTATTTTGAATTTTGGCTTGACCAATAATAATTTTTTCTTGGTCTTTTTGAGAGAAGGTCTCCCTGTAGCTCCAGCTGTCCTGGAACTCACTATATAGTCCAGGCTGGCCTTGAACTCATAGAGATCCACCTGCCTCTGCCTCCCGAGTGCTGGGATTAAAGGCATGTGCCACCACGCCTGGCAATAATAAGTTTTAACGGATAACATGTGAGAGCTTACCATTTCATTTTCTTTAAAACTTTTTATTATTTTTATTTTATGAGTATGCGTGTTTTGCCTGCACGTAGATAGGTGCACCTGTGTCATGCATTGCCCATGGAGGTCAGAAGAGGCTGTTGGATTCCCTGGAACTGGAGTTACAGACAGTTTTTAGCTGCCATGCAGGTGCTGGGAATCAACCCAGGTTTTCTTAAAGAACAACTAGTATTCTTTTTTTTTTTTTTGATTTTTACAAAATGATTATTCTATTAATACACTGCATTCACAGGGTGTTAACGCTTTAAATGTTTATCATTTCTATCAACTGCAACACTCAGTAAACCAGAATAAACATTTTTATCATAGATGTAGCTATGGATCATTAATACTTTTTAAAAGGACCTAAAATTCCCCCAAATTTTAGTACAGCAGTTTTAGTGTATGTATCATCTAGTAGATAATGAAAAAATGTGTAGAATTTAATAGTTTCCAACCAAGTAAATATATTTTACCATGTTACCAACCCATCAAATCAAAAGCACTTGCCAAGCTGAATAAATTACAAAGGAAATAATTATTTTGGGTCACACAGAAATGTACAGTGTTCTCAAAACTCCACAGTTCCCACTGACACAAATCTCTAAAGCTTAACTTAAGAGTTGGAAGGTAAGTTTCACAGTAATGTAATATTTCACTTCCATTTACGTTCATTTTTAGTATATTACTATGATGTTTATGTCACAATGGTGCTTCACAGTGTTCACAATTTACAGTTTCAGTTTGTATATACATAACTCACTAACATAAGGAACAGTTCTTACTACTATAAACTACCCCCAAAGGAGAAAAAAACTACCCCACATAGAAGTATAAAAATGGTATGAAAACATCTATTCTTAACTGCTGATCCACCTCTCCAGGCCTCATTTCATTTTCTTTTTGCCCAAATCCTATGTACTGAAATTACCATTGGTTTTGTACAGTTTAGTTTTTATATACTTATAATGATGGAACTGGATTATAATTAATGTTTTTAAATCAAATTTTTTTCTGATAATAAAAGCAGTGAGTACATATTTATACTTTGTAAAATAATGCAATTAATGAAGAAAAATAATGAACTACTATCCATAATTGCATCATATAATAATTTTTAATAAAAATAGTTCATAATGAATTCTTATCCTTTTTCTTCTTAAAAAACACTTTATTTATAAATTTTCTTTTAGATGTATGAGTATATTGCCTGCATATATGTAAGTGCACATGTGTGGTACAATGCCTGCAGAGGTCAGAAGAGACCGTTGACTGACCTGGAACTGGAGTTACGGACCATTGTTAGGCCCCATGTGGGTGCTGGGAGCTGAACTTGGGTCCTCTGCAAGAGCAGATAGTGCTCTTAAACACTGAGCAATCTCTCCAACTTCATTATCTTTCTTTCTGTAACCACATTCTATTTCTGCTTGCACATTAGCATATGTAATGATTTCTTTCCTAGGTATCCTTTGGTTAATAGTTTTAATCAATCTGTACCTGTAATTTTGTGTCCTGCATTATACTTAACATTTGTGACTATTTAAAGCATTTTGTGTCATTAAAATATCTCATGCTGTTGCCCTTTTGTGCTGTATCACTCCTTTATTCTCACTTATCAAATGACTTAGCTCATCATTCCTACCTAGTGACAACCTTGGCTAACACTATTAGTATTTTGAGATAATTGAAAAGAATGTATCTGGATAGATAAATTGGGATAAAGACAAAATTGCCAGAGGGAGTAAAGGAGTTCTGCAGAGTGAATAGTAGAAGGTAAATGCCTGTGCATTGACTGGAAATATTTCAGTTCTTGGAAGTCTGCTGTTTTGTCAAAGATGTTCAGTGCAATAATCTTAAATGAACTCGTAAAGCTTAATTAATAGCTATTTTAAAATAAAGTGATGCCACTTTAAGAGACTCGGAAACTTGAAAATGCAAATACATAGAACTGGCAAAGGCCAATACATTGGTAGAGGTTGGAGATTGAGAGAGAAAGCATCTATCCATAGAGCACTACTATGATCCCTACACAGGCCCCTTTCAAAGTTGTCATTCATTACTCAGAGCCGAAAACAAGTTACTTTATCTCACTCAATCTATTTATAAATAAAATAAGTTTTCCATGTTTAAAACTGGGATATGTGTATGTAATTTTTTTTGGAACCCATAATACCTGATGACACTAGATATAGTCCTGTGCTGCCAAGTCCTGCTGGGCTTCTAATGGGTCATGGAGCTTCATAGACTCTCATTTGATGTCTTCATAATGATCTGGACCTTTTAGACACTATATTTTTTAACCATGTCTGATAATATATACTATCAAAGAGTTGAGTACATCAGTATCATCCCGTTCAAGGCAGGGAACATCATGGGAGAAGGGAAAGAAAGGATGTCAGAGCTGAAATACAGAGAGGAGTGTTGCAAATTACTATCTTTGGGACAGGACATTGCCAGAGCACTCATAAACTCACAGCAGTTATGGTTACCAGGGCGATCTGTGCAAGACCACACACGATGGGGCCCTTCAGTGTTTCATCATGGATGCGGTAGGGGCTCACTGTGTCTTATCCCTGTAATAGGAGCTATCTGCAGTCAACAGTTTCTGGAAAGGGAATCATTTTCTTTAGTGCTGTAATCATTGGGAAGTTGTACATGCTCAGGAAATAACCAGCTTCCTTTCTCATCCAAGCAGCCCTAGCTGAACTCAGTGTACAGAATGCACATGAGAGTGCATGGACACACACACACACACACACACACACACACAAGCACACACAAACACACACACAGATACAGAGAGACACACACAAAAAGAGTGAGAGAGAAAGAGATGGAGAAAGAGAGAAAAAGAGAAAATAGACATATAACTTGCTGGAAAGAAGAAAGCATTTGGTGGAAGTGGTAAGAGGCTAAGAGAAGGTGAAGAAGGTGAATATAATCAATAAACATCAAATACACAAATATTGTCAAAGAATAAATTAAAATATTTAAAATTTGAGTATTTGTAAACTTTTTCTTTCCTTTTGCTCCCATTAGTTCTATTATTTTTATTGAATATTTGTACATTTCATACAATGCATCTTAATCATATTTAGATCCGCTCTGCTATCTGCACCATGCTATAGCCTGCCCACAGCTTTCATTCATTATGTCACATATGTTAAGGTCTATTGTTTCAACTTTGTGCACTCAGATGTCCTACCACGTGAGTTCATTTATTGGAGCCTGTTCAGCCCATCTAGAGTCATTCCTTTAAAGAAGATCAGCACTCCTTATCCAGCAGTGATCAGTTGTCAGTACTTCCAATCTAAGACTGAGACCTCCTGCCCATTTACCAACTTCCGTACTGGATATTTGTCTAATTGGATTGCATGGGTCTTGTACAAAGCTGTCACCATGGGAGGGAACACATGTGTGGCACTGTAAACATAGCCAAATACATATGGCTGGAGAGGTCATGGATTCTAGAGAAAATCCTGGTTCTGTCACATCATTAGACTAATGTAATTCCTTACTGTATACTAAATATTAATCCTTAAATTTACAGACAAGTGTACCTGTCACCATTCACCAAAGAATCTTTCTGCAACAGGTGAAGTCTATTACAGAGGTCCACAACTGATCACTAAGATAATAAGTTTCTGTGAAATTCTCAATGCTAAGTGACACATATACAATGCAACTTCTACACCTAAGGCTCATGGAACCAATAGTGGAACAGGGAGTAGAGGGAACACTAATGCTTTTTTCAGTTCTCATCAGTAAAACTTCCTTATGTAACAGAGGGTGATGTTTCCATTTCTTTTCTTCCCATATTTTCTTTCCTACTTCTCTCACTTTCCTTTTTATTTCCTTTATGCATTCCTATATTTGTTTTGTTTCAAAGTGGCATATACTTAAATAAAACTACAGGGCATAAGACTAGATATGTATATGTTTTCAGGAAAACATGTTTTTCAAACCCCAGTTAATTATGGAGTAAGATTATGCTGACTCTTTATGTTTCTAACCTGTTTACAACTTTAGCTTTAAAGTTTCTCAATTTCAATCTCAATTTAAGAGAAAATACATGTGACAAGGAATAACTAAATTTATTCCAAATCTTACCTTTAAAAATGTGTCTAAAGAGCCATTCTCCATATACTCTGTCACTATCATCACAGGTTTACCTGAAAGGAAACAGAGTGATATAAACTGTGGTCAGACACTGATATTCAAGGAAACAGAGTGATGTAAACTCCGGTCAGACAGTGATATTCAAGGAAACAGAGTGATGTAAACTGTGGCCAGGCAGTGATAGTCTCTTGTTCTGTACTGTTATCTAGGAGAACTCTGTTGAAAATTTTTTAGCCTCATAATTATTATGAATACATAAACATACACATACATATTCATTTCAGTAGGAAGGAAATTATTTTATTTCTTCATTGAAAAAGTGTGTGTATGTAGCATATGTTGTGTGTGTATATATTTGTATATGTGCTTGCATGTGCATGTGTGCGTGTGCACAAGAGGGAGAGAAAGAGAGAAGAGAGAGAGAGAGAGAGAGAGAGAGAGAGAGAGAGAGAGAGATCATGCATGTGCCTACAGAGATGAGAATTGGATGCCAGGTGCCCTATTCTATCATTACCTTATTCACCTGACAAGTGTCTCTGAAAGTCTATTGTGTTCTGGCCAAGCTAGTTGATCAGGGAGCTTCTGACATCCTCCTGTCCCCACACCCTAACACTAGGGTTTCAATCACTTACAGCCATGACTGATTTTTTATGTGTCTGCTGGGATTTAAACTCAGTTTCTAGAGCTTGGACAGCAAACAGGCAACCACTGAGCCACCTTCATAGCTACAGGAAGTAAATACTCAGCATAATTCAGTGGGTTGACTCAATAAGAAAAAAGTGTGAATCTGTTAGTAACAGAACATACTGGTCAATTTCCAAACTAACTTATGTGGGCAAAGAGTTTAAGGATCAATTCTACTTCAGTAGAGATAAAGATAATATCCAGCAAACCACTTTACACATATTTATCTTTCTGGAAATTATAAAATGTCTTATTTTGTTTAACAGGCCTATTTATGGTCCCTTGACTTCCTTTTAGGAGTATAAAATTCATATGCTCCTCCAGGAGTGAGATACTTGTTTGGTCACAAGTATCTATGTTTCTGTGAGACAGCATACCATTGGAGGATCTTGGTAAATGGTATTATACAAAGCATGTCCCTTATATTCACCTTACCTGGGGATGAGCTGAGTTCTTACTAAAAGGGAATACGTAGATACCCCTGCCATTAGCTTATTATCACACAATATAGAATATTTCTATAAAGTACATCTAAACTAGAGCTATGAGTGCAGACTTACTGACGATAAGCCCTGATGTAACAAGGGAGTCTAATTTTCTGGAGTCAGTCTTTATTTCCAAGAATCTTCCTTATTTGATTCCTTTGCTTTTAATCTACCTGCTCCCTCTGCTTTCTAACAGATATCCATCCTTAAGTAAGTTGTCACAATATAAACAGCTATAAGAGCTGAATTCCAACAGACTTCTGGAAAATATAGGCCTTCCTTTCCTTCTTGGCACATCTCAGCCAATACTCAAGAGCAGAGAACATGATGATCAAAGAAAAACACTACCTACTTTATCACCATGTCATGACCTTCTTTATCACCATGTCATGACCTACTTTATCACACATCCTTTCATAGGTGTGGAGCCTCCCTCTGTGTCTACTTATAACACTTTAAGTATTTTCTCTCTCTTATAGTTTTTTTTTCTTTTTAACTTTCTTGTCTTTTAGATATTCAACTGACAGTTAGGGACTAGTAGTAGTTTGTAGATGTTGTAATTGCTTAATATCTGTGGAGAAATTTCCCAAGAATTGCATGGATACCAAAATCTGTGGATGCTTAAGTCTGTCATATAAAATGGCATAGAATTTATAAATAGCTTTTGAACATCCTGTATACTTTAGTGTATTTCTATAGTAATTATAATGCCTAACCCAGTATAAAGACATGGAAATAGTTTACGGAGTGATGATGAAGGGAAAATACCTATACATGTTCAGTATAGAAGGTTTTTTTGCCTGACTATCTTCAGTCTGCAGCAGGTTGAAGTTTTGTATATGAAACTTGCAACGGGGCTAACTGTACTTATGATTGCTTCTGAATGTTCTAGAAGGCAAAACTGGGAAAGAAGACCCACAAAAGTGTCTCCTTTGGGGGAACTGTGTATTTTAGTAACTACCTCAAAGTCACTTAACTTAGAAGGTAGAATTTATACTTTAAAATGAATTCCCTAATCAGAAAGTTGCTAGCTTTGGATAAGATATATTTGGAGGGATTAGAGGGATGTCTCAGTGGTTAAGAGCAATGACCACTCTTGCAAAGGACCCAGGTTTGCTTCCCAGCACCCACATGGAAGCTAACAACTGTCTGTAACTTCAGTTCCAGAAGATCCAATGCCTTCTTCTGAACACCACAGGCATTGCATGATATGGGTGCATGTGCATGTAGGCAATAAACTCATACACATAAAATAAAAATGAAAAAATAAAATAATAAAAAAGACACTTTGGAAAGAATAGATTATTCATTTTAAGGGGGACAGATGCCTTCTCTGTGTGATTTTTCAACCCTAGCAGTAAAAGTCAGATTACTTATCCATGATAGTTTATGTTGGAATGTCAAAAACAAAAATTTAATTTGAGAAACATGATAGGATTCTAAAATGCCATTCTGATTACTGATGACATGGGAAACACAATTAAAATTGACGTTTGCAAATAAGTACAATTTTTTTTGTTTATAAAAATAATACACTTCAGGATCCATTCAATTGTTTTTCATGAATGAGTCATTTGAATGCTAATTGCATTTAGTTTGGTTTATGTTTTGTCTCAGTTGCTTCTAGCCTGCAAAAATGATATAGCAATAATTAACATGGCTTACTGTAACTCTGGTAAATTCAATAAAAGTGAACAAATCGTTTTTCATTATCCAGCTGGACGTACAGACAATGAGTAGATCTTCCAAAAATTTTGTAAGCATATTATCTAAAATCCATTAAAAATGAGCTCATAAAGCATGTCAAAACATGATATTAATCACAGAGTAGGTTTTCTACACTGCTTCAGAGTATCTCCTGAGGACCCAGGTCAGGCAGTCTAGGAAGGAAAGGAAGATTATTTGTGGACTTCACCTTCATTACGGATGATCATAAAGTATCTCTTATTTATTTAGTTACTGAAACAGATCTTGAAATCTAACAGTAACCACAGGGGAACTATGTTATTATTGTTTCTAAAATTCTATATCCATGACATTACAAGGGGCAGCTTTCAGCAAAAGTGAAGCTCAGAAATTCTATTACTTACAAGAAATACTTATATAACTAGAGCAAATCATATAAAAAGCACCATTGGAGATATGAAAATTTGTTCTACTTCTTTTCAAACTTGGATTTATAAAGTATCAAAATATTTTTCAAGCACTAATTTCATTTTAAACTCTTGCGTATGGTCAATTTTTGTCATAATTCAAATGTGATAATTATGACTATATCATACCAACATTTAACCACTCACTGCCTATCAGTCAGTGTTGTCTTTGTGTATGATAGATACATATTTATATATTGTTTACAGGGAACTTATGATATGAATTCAAATTTCACCTGTGAGAGGTGTACAAAATCATTTAACATAAGAAGTAGAAACCTGAGAATAGAAAGGTAGTTTACTCTCAGGAGGGCCTGGGAAAGAGAGAAGTGAGATTTTCTTCTCAATCAGTGTGTGTTATGTTACACAGCATAAAAGAGTTCAATTAAGATCTCTGGGTGAGCTGACTAGACTCCAGTGGATAAACTTGCACCAAGGGACATCTGAGTGTATATGCATGACTGGATAGCACTTAACATATATGACAGAATGCATAAGGTCTGGTGGGGAGGTATGTCAGGGCACGGATGGAGGAGGGGATCTAGACTTGATTGAGTGCTATTGTATGAAATGCACAAAAACTCAATAAAACATTTTTAAAAGAGTTCTAGACAGTCTCTGTACATCACGCTAGTGATAATGCATTATAATCTTAAACTTTTGTTAAGAGGGTAGATCTTAAAGTATGTCTTTTCTTATAATACAAAATGAATTTTTTTTCTTCATGGTGTGCTATTTTTTTTTCATTTTGTTTTGGTTTTCTCTGATTTGAGAATGAGGTATCAGTCTGTAGCCCAGGCTGTAATGAAATTTACTGTGTAATAAAGCTGATCTCTAACTCATGATGAACTACCTGCCTCAGCTCCCTGATTCCTGGAATTACAGTAAGAGCCACCAGAACTAGATTACTGTGTGTGTGTGTGTGTGTGTGTGTGTTAATGTTAAATATTTTACAAAAATTTAAGCAAGGGAGAATACTGCTTTCATTCTGATGGGATCTTTTTTTATATATTTCAAATGTATATGAAAGTAAACTCTGGGGAATGTGGATGCAGCAATTGCTTCTCAGAGTATGGACCATGACAATGAGAAGAGTCAAATTCTGTAAGCTTATTAGACATGGAAAATATGTGTCCTCAGTGAGGTCGATTGAAACAGATACTGCAATTTAATGATAACCCCAGAGGCACATTCAGTTTTGTGAAACATTAAACAAAGCTGCATCACAAGAGTTGAAGTTCAATGTGGACTTATTTTACTGACATTTATACTATCTTCTTTTCTAAAACCATTAGTTCATCAATAAACACATTACACCACTGAGGGATATCAGGGAGATTTTCTTTTAGAAGCATCATAATTTAAGGAAAAGCAATAGTCACAGACTTTCTCTTAGAAGCACTTTATGAGTTGTAAATAACTAAATATAAGCTCTGTCTATGCCTATAATCTTAGTTTTCTTTTATTATTCTACCCTTTTGGGGTTGTATTCCACGTTGTATTCTAATACTTGTAACTGTTTGAAATTTACTTTATTTTAAATTTAATGAAATTCGAGGACAATATATACTTGCTGATTCAAGTACTAATGAACAGTGCCAGGCAGAAAATAGGATCTTATTGCTGTCATAAAATAGATAATTGTCTCTGAGAGGAAAACAAAAAGAAAATACAGTAACAAAATTATTAACTTTAAAAAAAATTTAGATTTTAGTTCAACATTTTACAAAA